TCACTGAGCTGGTAGCCCACCTCTGCGGCTCTGTCGGCAGTCCAGGCCCCACCGCAGCAAAGGTTCCTGATCGAACCCTTCTCCAGTGCAGTAAATTTCTTCGATCGCATCTGGCTCTTGCAAATGTCGAAACAAGCCCGTCCCACCCAACATTCAAGCTACTACCCACATGCATTTCAAGACCCCTCACCACTGCCCGCCTGAGGATGTCCTTCAAGAGGGTTGGGCTGACAAAGGTGAGAGAGACAAAGGTGCCGTCATGCATGGCGAGAGTGGCGTAGTTGGGCATGGACCAACCGATGCGCTTGACTGACAAGAAGAGGGCAGAGATCGGGCCAGCGACAGGTCGCCACGTCTTGGGCTGCAGCTTACCCTCGAAAACTGACGACCAGCACCTCCAGAGCTCCTTATGAGACATACCCCCCAAGTATTGATGATACTGGGCCGCCCATACCTCCTTCCCCCACCGAACGATAGGTGCGACCATCCCGTAGTAAGTGGGGTCGTCCTCACAAACCAGAGCAGAAGAGAGGCTGCGGCCGCCACAAGACGGCCTGAGACACTTGCCTGCTTGGCGGCGGATGTGGGCAAGCTCGGCGTCGCTGACCCCGTGGATCTCGCAGCCGAAATTGATCCCCGTCAAAGCCCCACTGGTAAACATCTTCTTAGCGGAACGGCCCAGGACCTGACGTTGTTTGCTGATCCTGCTGACACGCTTGTCGAAGGTGGAGCGGCGCTGCTTCGCTGTCCTACAACGGCCCTTGACCCTCCTAGGCAGCCCAGCGGTATCGTCAGTCCCCAGGTTGACAGCCGAAGAGGTCCCCCCAGGGCCAGCCCAGACACCCAAGAAGGCCAGAAGATTTTCCCCAAGACGCCGCTGGCTGCATACGAGGCTCGCCTTGTCTGGAGCGACCTGGCACTTGATATCGGCCTCCACAGCCTTGAACAAGCCCACAGCCCCGACGGTGATGGCCGAATAAACTTCATGAAAACTACCCTGAGCAGACAGACCCAGGTCATCTATGTAAAGATCCAGGCTGGACGAAGGATGCAGCTTGACATTGACAAAGGCTTTCATGTAATAGACCCTGACGAAACTAGTAGCAATGCTGCATCCCGCAATGACGCCACGAATCGCCAGGAACGGCCCCTGGATGAACCCACTGATGTTAATGTACCTGGGGGCCCGATAGGCCGTAATACAAAGCCTGGAAACCACCTGCGGGAAATCCGACTCATCACATCTAGTCGCGAGGTCCTCAAGGTCCATGGTTTCATAGAACTTATACATGTCCCAGAGGAGAGAAGCCGAGCACCTGCCTTGCTGGACAGCCGCTTCACTCTTGGCAGTCTGCCGCCAGACCACATCCGAGGCCGACTTGAAACCATAGGCAGCAAACAACGCATGCTGGTTAGCCTCCCCCCACATCAACGCCTCCCTCCTCCTGCACTTCCCCCGAAGTCTGTAGGGCGAGGTGAAGATGCCAATGGGGCGGAGGCCGCCCGACGGCTTGGCCAGCATAGCCAGCATGACTAAACGCAACTGCTCAGGCAAGACGGCCATCGTCTCCATGATGGCGAAAAGCAACGAGACAACTTGCAGAGCCTTGTCGCACAGCAGCGCGTAATGCCGAAGGTGAAAGCCATCAACAGACACAGCTGACCGCTTGGCGTGCCCCCTGCTCTTCTCTCTCAAGCACTCAGGTGGCACCAGAGGAAGGTGTTCCAAGGGGCGATAAGGCTTGGGGTCCAAAAAATCGAACAAATCGGTTTCGGTCAGCCATAGCTTCTGGAAGCGTTCCCCTTCAGCGCGCAGACGGGAACGAGGATCAGAAACCACCCGGCCCGCAGCACTGAGGGTCGTGGAGGGAACCCAAGCCTCTACAGGACGCGTCCAGGTACGGGCATTGCGGCCACCACCCTGGTCGATGTCCCTTAGAAGCCACTCCTTCCACGACCGCTCTCCTGCAGCTCGAGCCGCCTTGGCGGTCGAGTCCAGCAAGTCGGCTAACTCGATGGACACGCTACCTATGGCCTCCAAGGTGGCCTCGTCCTGCCCAATGAAACCCAAGACTCTACGATGGGCCTCGAAGATAGCGCCAGACCCCATATGCTTCTGAATGAACGGCGAGGGGGACTCCAGAACCTTCTTGGCACTCTGGATGGGGATCCCGCCCGAACATTTACCATGCAAGGTCCTCCAAGAAGTAGTCCAATCCCTGAAACTCTGCGAGAGCCATCTACACACGAATAGTTCAGGATGCCGAGCGGGACGCTGGTCACGACCCAAGACAGGAACCCACCAAACCTTGGGGATCTCGCCTCGACACCCGGTTATAGGGAGCTTAACCTGGAGTTGGTCGGCAAGCTCTGCTTCAGCAAGGTTGGCCCATCGCTTATACAAGTCGGTGAGCCCATAGTGAGCGCCCAGAGACCCCCGACGGGCACAGTCGAGCACTCCATTAGCAAAAACCAGTGTGGCATCCCAGTCCTGAGGAGCAGGTCCAGGCCCGACAGGAACTTCAACAGGCAAAGGAGGAGGCTTCCTAAATTGTAAGACTCGAAGATCGGCTAACCTGGCATGGAAATCGACCCCCGCAGGCGAGTGAGGGGAAGTCGGAGCATACCTGTCGACCCACGTATCCCTGACACCTTTAGATAAGCCCCCAGAGACCACGAAAAAATCGTCGACCTTCCCACCAGCTGAGCTCAGACAAATGGACAAACCGGCCGTGATCACCTGGCCCTCTAATAGTTGAACGAAGTTGGAGTCGTCTAGCAACGAAGGCTCCATATTGAAATCGCCTCCGATCACAAAACTGTTGAGACTGCTGCTGGCAATCGAACCGATCCTCGACAGCAGGGCCAAATTCCTGTCGGACAAACCCTCGCAGCACGACAGGTAGCAGGAGATGCACAGGATGGGTGGAATGTCCCCAACATGAACAACCCCAGCAACGGCACGATAGTCTTCCACCACATAACCCCCTGGGGGCCAATGGAGGCCCAAACCTGAACGAGCTAGAATAGCCACACCTCCTGAAGTGCCTGAGTCTGACGAAGCCTTAGCACTCCCGAAGATCGATTTCCAACCGTGATTAAGGGCCCAGCGCTGAGCATCTGGGATCTGGTGCGCGAGCAAGTGGTGCTCCTGGAGCAACACCACGTGCGCCGCCGTCTGCAAGAGCCAATCCTTAGCATAACTCCAGGCCGTGCAATTGCAAGTGACTATCTTCAGGTTTATGGCATCCCCCCCAGGGGCTGGGGGGGCCCTAAAAACTACAAAACTTTCAGGCCGAGAAACCGAACCTGAGGGAAGAGGAGCCTGCGGGCCGACAGGGGAAAACGCAAGGTTGGGCTGACCACCAGCTCGCTTTTTGCAAAAGTCCCCCTGTTTGCAGACGCCTCGGGTACTGTTGGCGGAACACAACAGCGCAGCTATGTATTTATCAAGAGAACGAATGGACTGAGCAAGGCGATCCTCAAGCTCAGCTCGACTAAAGACAGCACAGAAAGGAGGTTGGGAAGAGATGCAGTGATGGGCCCCCCTGCCCGCGCTCACAGTGGAGTCACGCGGGAGGGGGCAAATGGCACTTAGCGGGGGCCAGGGCTGCTTCAGCACGTGCACGAACGTCAGGAGGTGCATCACCAGCTTCGCCAGGCTGCTTGGCCGCCTCGCCTTCGGACGGGCCCGCCGCAGTGCTGGCAGCAGCGCGGCCGACGGGGCCTGCCCCAGCGCCGTTGGCCGCAGCTGCCTGGCCTGGCCCAGCGCCGCCACCAGAGACGGCCGCGCCGTCCTCGCCCTTCCTCTTCTTGCCAAGACGCTGAACATGCTTTGCTTGCTCATCACGAGCAGACTGGGCCTTCTCCAGCGCCCCCTTGAAGAGGGAGTTGCACGCCTCGCGGAACTGTTCGTTGAGAGCTGCACGTCGAGCTGCCATCTGCTCCTTGTCATCGTCGGAGACCTCGTACTCGCCCTCGTCGAAGAGGAAGATCGAGTCCAACGAGACCATGTCCAGCACGTTGCAGGAGCCCTGCATGAGCTCGGACACATCCACCTTGGTGCGCCCGAGAGGCTCTGCAGGGGTGGGATCGACCACGTTCCCAGCCAGCTCGCGGACCAGGTCCTTGTAGTTGTCGTCGGCAGCTTGCAAGGACTGCTGAGCCGCCGCCGTCGAAACCTTCTGCTCCTCCACCTGCTTCTCCAGCTTGGTGAGCTTGTCAAGCTCGGTGGACAGCTTGCGCTCCCAGTACTGCACACTGCTGTGGGCCTTGGCTGCGCGCTGCTGGACGGGGGCGGGAGTGGTGGTGCGGAGCAGCTTGTCGAGCGCCGTCTTGTGGCGAGTGGCAGCCTCGCCGTCGCCAGACTTCTCGCACAGGCCGATGAGCGTCCGCAGCTCGGTCTCGGACAGCTTGGCCGAGGAAGAGCCAGCTGGATGCCCGCCAGCACCGCCAGGGCCCCCAAGAGCAGGAACAGGCGCAGGCTTGAGGGCAGGCCAGTGGGTGCCTGACCTCGGCCAGCCCCCGACGAGATTGGGGGGTCCTGCACGCATCTCGCCGCAGTGCTTGCAAGCGATCCAGCCCTCGAGGTTCTTCTTGCATCCGCATGCCTCGCAACGCCAGCGGCGGCCCGACCACGACACAGTGTCCTGACGGGGGGGTGACCAGCACCAATGGCCATCGCCGTCGGCCTGGGTGCCCCACTGGCTCGACGGAGGTCCAGTCCTGGCCGCCGACCCTGCACGCCAGGGCGCCTGGGTCGCCCACGCCCCGCCACCATTGCTGCGAAGCTGCCAAGCATTCTTGGCCATGCGAGAGAGATTCCGAAGCCAAAAATTGGCTCGCACACACAATGCTGTCCTGAAGTTGGTGTGTGCAATGCCCAAAAGCTCGGGCACAGGACAGCTGGAGGAGGAGGAGGAGGAGGAGGAGGAGGAGGAGGAGGAGGAGGGAGGAGGGAGGAGGAGGGGGAGGAGGAGGAGGAGGAGGAGGCCGGCGACCATTAAGTCGGCGAGGTCGGGCACGCCATGCTCGGCCGCCATCGCGAACGCCCCGCCCGGCCACGCGTCGCCCTGGCGGTCCGAGCAGGAGGAGCTGGGGGAGCGCGCGCCGCGGCCGAAGGCGGCGGTGCCGCCGGAGTGCAGCGAGACCTCTCCGGGCGCGCGCGCGATGCCGCCGCCGCCGCCGCCGTCGTCGCCGCCGCCGCCGCCGCCATCGCCGCCGTCGTCGTCGTCGTCGCCGCCGTCGTCGTCGCCGCCGCCGCCGCCGCCGCCGCCGCCGCCGCCGCCGTCGTCGTCGTCGTCGTCGTCGTCGTCGTCGTCGTCGTCGTCGTCGTCGTCGTCGTCGTCGACGTCGTCGGGGCTCCGGGAGAGGATTCCACGGGGGACTCCAGGAGAAGGCGGGGGCGGGTGAGGGGAGGAAGGGGAGCGGGGAGGGGCGCGTAGGAGGGAAGTGGGGCAAGCTGAAGGCGCCCACGCCTCATCCGACATCCAATCCCTCCTTCCCATCCCCTCCCATTGTAGCGTGACTTCTCTATCCGCGGGCGCGCGTCACAGCCGACCTGCAAAGGATGCGTGTCATGAGCAATATGGAAATGGGAGCTGCATGCGTGGGAGGCGGATGATGAGGAGGAGGATGAGGAGGAGGAGAAGGTAGAGGGTGAGCATGACGATAACCAGAAGGAGGAAGAGGAGGAGGATGTGGAAGGAGGAAGAGGACGAACAGCAACAGCAGCAAGAACTGGAGTGGAGGGGGCGGGAGGGACAGGAGGACCAAGGGAAGGCGGAGAGAGGGAAATGAGGAGGGCGACCACGATGAAAAGGGACTCGGATCCAGAACAGTGGCCAACGCTGGGGCGAGAGCGCCAGTCTGAACGACGGGATCACAGCGCCGATCAGAAAATCAGGCCCATGCTGCAATGGGGGGGGGGGGGGGAAAACCACACGCAATCACATTGCAATGCACCGCAGTCCGCCACCGTGCCCCCTGGCACGAATGCCGAGTGCTGTCTGGAGGTCGAGGGGGCGAGAGGGGGCCCGGCCGCGAGGGCTCCAGTGGCGGTGTTCGGATGCGTCCCCGCCGCCCACTTCGGCAAACCCCTCACACGTTTCGTGGCCCCATGGGAAGCTCCACCGCAGGCTCCAGTGGCGAAATTCGGATGCGTCCCCGCCGCCCATTTCCGCACACTCCTCACTCGTTTCGTGGCCCCTTAGGGAGCTCCACCGAAGGCTCCAATGGCGGTGTTCGCATTGCGTCCCCGCCACCCAGTTCGGCACACCCCTAACACGTTTCGCGGCCCCACAGGAAGCTCCTCCGAATGCTCCAGTGGCGGTGCACGCACGCGTCCCCGCACCCCCTTTCGGCACATCCTTCACAGGTTCCGTGGCCTCATAGGGAGCTCCACCAAAGGCCCCAGTGGCGGTGTTCGCATGCGTCCCCGCCACCCCTTTCGGCATACCCTCTCACAGGCTTCGTTGCCCCACAGGGAGCTCCACCGAAGGCCTCAGTGGCGGTGTTCGCATGCGTCTCCGCCACCGAAAAATGATTTTGACAGTCCCCTCACACGCTTCGTGGCCCCTTAGGGAGCTCCACCGAAGGCCGTAGTGGCGGTGTTCGCTTGCGTCCCCGCCGCCGCTTCCGGCACACCCCTCACACGTTTCGTGACCTCATAGGGAGCTCCACCGAAGACGGTACCCACAACTGCGCTACTCACAACTGCGTATGGTTGGGTCCTTCGCCAGGCTGATTCTTTCAAGCCGGGCGTTTCCGCTTCTTCTCGGACCCCCGGACCCTCACAGATCGACCCGCCTCGAAGAATGACGCAGATAGACTGGGTCCAGGGTTCAGGACGCGATCTTTCACGGTATCTCGATTTTGTTTTGAGACGTCGGATCTCAAGAGTTCCCCTGGGAGTTGAGAAGCTGGCGTGCACTCCGCGCCCGGCAGGCTGGTGGCCGAGAGGTGCGGGCTCGCGGAGCGCAGGCGGGTGCGTGGCCAGGACGTCGACGAGGCAGAGGCCAGGAAGGGCAGAGGCAGAGCGGAGGGCCCTGGGGCCCTGGGGGACCGAGGAGGCTTCCTGGGGGGACCTGCGGCCGGAGGAGGCGCGACGTCGGCACGGCTCTGCCACGGTTGCATGGGCTGGTCTGAACGGGCAGGAGGCCGTGGAGAAGTTGCTGGAGGAGTGGCTTCTGATGTGGTGCCACAAAGTGGCGTTGGAAGTGTCTCATGAGGGCCTCTGTTCTCCCTGGCGTGGTAAGCCAGTGCCGCGGACAGCGGGGACATCTTGGGAGCCTCCTGGGCGAATCCGAATGCCGTCTCGCGCTCGCCCCTGCCGGCTCCACAACTTGTTGACGGGCTTCGGTCGCGAGGTCGGCTTCTCTTCGGCCACCGCGGCGTTGGACCTCAAGAAGTTCTACGAGCACGTCCGCTTTTCAGCATTTGTGAGACGCTGCGGTAGAACACGCCTTCCGTTTGAAGGTGGTTCGGGGCCTGTGCTGCATTAAACTTCAGAGGGCCTTTAACCACCCACCAATAGTGGGAACACGCAATTATTCCTAACCATCCACTGGTGTTGGGTCATCGTTTTGAAAAGACAGCGCCCCGCGTTCCTCCTCCTCTCCTTTTTTCCCCTCCTCCCCTCTCCTGCTCCTCCCCTCCTCCACCTCTCCCCCTCCTCACTCCTCCGCAATTCGCATGCGTCCCCCGCCACCCAATACAACGTTTCGTGGCCCAAGAAGGAGCTCCACCGAAAATCCCGGTGGCGCAGTCCGGATGCGTCTCCCCCCACCCGGTACAGCGTTTCATGGCCCCATTGGGAGCTCCACCGAAGGTCCTAGTGGCGAAGTCCGCATGCGCCCCCCCAACCAATACAACCTTTCGCGGCCACAGAAAGAGCTCCACCGAAGGTCCCGGTCGCGCAGTCCGCATGCGTCCCCCCCACCCAACGTTTCGTAGCCCCAGAGGGAACTCCACCGACAGTCCCAGTGTCGCAGTCCGCATGTGTCCCCCCCACCCAGTACAGCGTTTCGTGGCCCCAGAGGGAGCTTCACCGAATGTCCTAGTGGTGCAGTCCGCATGCGCCCCCCCCACCCAATACAACGTTTCGTGGCCCCAAAAAGAGCTCCACCGAAAGTCCCGGTCTCGCAGTCCGCATGCGGTTCCCCCACCCAGTACATCGTTTCGTGGCCCCACAGGAGGCTTCACCGAAGGTCCCAATGGCGCAACCCGCATTCCCCCCCCCCCCCCCAACAACTACAACGTCTCGTGACCCCAGAGGGAGCTCCAGCGAAGGTGCGAAGGTCCCAGTGGCGCAGTCCGCATGCGTCCCCCCCACCCAGTACAGCGTTTTGTGGTCCCAGGAGGAGCTCCACCGTAGGTCCCAGTGGCGCAGTCCGCATGCGTCCCCCCCGCCCAGTACATCGTTTCGTGGCCCCAGAGGGAGCTCCTCCGAAGGTCCCAGTGGCGCAGTCGCATGCGTCCCCCCACCCAGTACAGCGTATCGAGAGGGAACTCCACCGAAGGTTCCAGTGGCGCAGTCCGCATGCGCCCCCCCCCCCCCCCCCAAACCTAGGACAGCGTTTCGTGGCCCCAGAGGAAGCTCCACCGAAGGTCCCTGTGGCGTACAGCGTTTCGTGGCCCCCGAGGGAGCTCCGCCGAAGGTCCCAGTGGCGCAAACCGCATGTGTTTCTCACACCAAGTACAGCATCAGCATATGGGGAGCTCCACCGAAGGTCCCAGTGGCGCAGTCCGCATGCGTCCCCCCCACACCCAGTACAACGTTTCGTGGCCCTGGAGGGAGCTCCACCGAAGGTCCCGGTCTCGCAGTCCGCATGCGTCTCCTCCCCACCCAGTACAACGTTTCGCGGCCCGCCCTGGAGGAAACTCCACCGATTGTCCTGGTCGCGCAGTCCGCATGTGCCCCCCCGCCCAATACAGCGCTTCGTGGCCCCAAAGGGAGCTTCGCTGAAGGTCCCAATGGCGCAACCAGCATTAACCCCCCCACTCAATACAACGGTTCGTGGCCCCATTGGGAGCTCCACCGAAGGTCCCGGTCTCGCAGTCCGCATGCGCTCCCCCACCCAGTACAGCGCTTCGTGGCCCCAGAGGGAGCTCCAACGAAGGTCGAGGTGGCTCAGTCGCATACGTTTCCCCCACCCAATACAGCGTTTTGTGGCCCCAGAGGGAGCTCCACCGAAGGTCCCAGTGGCGCAGTCCGCATGCGTCCCCCCCCGCCCAGTACCGGAGGGGGCTCCACCGAAGTTCCCGGTGGCGCAGTTCGCATACGCCCCCCCCACCCCGTACAACGTTTCGTGGCCACAGAGGGAGCTCCACCGAAGACATACCCACTGCGGTACTCACGACTGCATATGGTTGGGTTCTTCGCCAGGATATTTTTTTAGCGCGGGCAAGACTGTGGGAAACATACATATTCCTCCTCGGCGGCCACCGCTGATGATGTTGCTGATGATGATGACGCCTACCAGAGGTGACCCCCGGAGCGCTCGCCTTGACCCGACAGGGCCGCCGCTCAGCTTCGACCGCCGCCGGGCGAGCTGCACGCGCGGTCTGGGGCTCAGGTCGTGATTTCTTGCGATGCTGCATTTTTTGCAACGTCGGATCTCAGGGAGGCACACTCTTGAAGGCGGGCTGCGAGGGGTTCAAAGCGACGCTGGCCGTGAGCAGCTGAACCTCATCAGCCAAAGCAGATGGCTGGCCTGACCACCAGCATGAGGCGCCGGAGGGTCCGAGGGCATTCCATGCCGAGGGGACGGGACTGCTGGCAAGCGCCCTCGGCGGCCACTTTTGTGTTGCTGTTTTCCTTTCAACCGTCTGATGCTCCTGTTCACCGGCAGGCGGCCTCGTCGCAACCGCTGTTGGACTCAGGCAGCAGGCAACGCAGGTGGCTGACAACCTCTGACACTGAGTGAGGAGACGGCGCCATGGGCGAGGTCCGCCCTCGGCGGCATTGGAGGCGTCCTAGATGGGGTCGGAGTAGATGGGGTCGAAGGATCGCGCCGCATCGCCGATACATCGGCAATGCATCGCCGATGCATCGGCGATTCGTCGTGATGCATCGGCGACGCCAGCGTGGAGAAGATCGGGCTACACATCGAGCCGTATCGCCGATGCGTCGACGATGCGGCGCGATCCTCCGACCCCATCTACTCGGACCCCATCTAGGAGGCCTAGAGGCATGCCCATCGCGCGCACCCGCGCGGCAGCTGCGGCTCCCCAGTGGGACGGCGGCGCGCCCTGCGCCGCTGGCGGGGGCTGCTGCGCGGTGGCATCGCCCTCGCGGCGGTTTACCGCAGGAGGAGGAAGAGGAGGAAGAGGAGAAGGAGAAGGAGAAGAAGGAAGAGGACGAGAAGCAGGAGCACAAATAGCTTTGGGGTTCCAGCTCTGGTAGCAGACCGATTCCGAACGCGCGCAAACTTGCAGCGAGCGCTCCTGACGATCTCCGTCCAAGCCTTGGGCCCGCGCGAGGGCGGACGCCGAGGCCGTGCGGGCGCGGGGCGGGCGGGAGAGGCGCACTGCGCCTCGGTGCCGCGCCCGGGCCTCGGCGCCCTCGGCGGGTGTGCTGCGGCCTCGTCGGGTCGGGCCCGCTCTGGGCCCCCGTCGCTCGCCTGCCGCGCGGCGCCGTGGCCCAGCCGCGGGTCGCGGCGGGCTCGGTCCTCCCGGGCGAGGTCGACCTCCGTCGCGTCCCGGGCGCCGAAGGCGACGAGTTCGCGGCCGACGACGAGCAGCCAGGCCCCCGCGGCCGCCCCCGCGCGGGGCCGTGCCCATCTCATCCCATTCCCATCCGCTCTGCACCGTCCTCCTCTGCTCCCTCCCCTCGCGAACCTCAAGACCACATCAGAATCGGCCCCTGGGCCCCTGCTGGAGTCACTCTTTGGCCAGGGGCCAAGAGTTCATACTGGGGATCTTGTGTTGCAGGTCGGTCCTCGGCCCTCGATTCTCATTCCTCGTCATCCCCGCAAGGAAGAACCAACATGCTCCCCCAACAAACCTGCCTGAACCCTTGCGCGCTGGTCAAACGTGGAAGCGTTTCTTCTCAAGGGGGCAGTCCCAAATCCTCATCCTCGTCCTTGTCCTCCTCCTCCTCCTCCTCCTCCTCCACCTCTTCGTGGTCGTACTCGCCGTCGCCGCCGCTGTCGTTCTCTTCATACTCTCCCAATTCATCCTGCTCTTCGTCCTGTTCCTCCTGTGGTCCTCCGACAGAGAGAGAGAGAGAGAAAGAGAAACAAAAGAGAGGGAGGGAGAGAGAGAGAGAGAGAGCGAAAAAAGGGGGGGAGAGAGAGAGAGAGAGAAAGAGAGAGACAGAGAGAGAGAACGAACAAACAAAGACAAGGAAGGAGAGGAAACGCCAATCCTCATCCTCGGCTTCGTCCTCGCCAGGGGGTGGCCTTCCCTCTCCCCCGCGGGCGGGACCTCTCCTATGTCCGTGGTCGAACAGGACGTCGAGTGCGGCTCCCGCCAGCAGGCCTTCAGCAGCGCGTCCTGACGGCAGCGGAGCCCCGAAGGGAGAGAAGTGCCGACGTCGTCGCAAGCGCCATCGTCGTAGTGGTCGTTGGCTTCCTCGCCGTCGCCTTGATCGTGGACGTCGTCGTCGTTCACAGTCCGTCGTCGTCGGTCTTCTTGCCGTCCAGCACCATCATCGCCATCACCATCGAGGCCTTCTTGATCGTCGCCCGCGTTGTCGACGCGGTCGTCGTCGTATTCGTCGTAATGCCCATCGCAGTCGTCGTTCCCGCCGTCATCGTCAGTCGCCGTGGAGGGAACAGGAAAGCTAAACCATCAAACATGGTGGCCTCGGCCGACGCCGTGGGAATTCTGTCCTGCTGCATGTTGGAGGGCGCTTCTTCCTCCACCTTGGAATGTTTCGGAAGATGGGAGAGATCAACGTTCACGGGCGCTGCGCGTCGAACGCGCCGACGTCGAACGCAACGACGACGACGATGCCAGCAACGGCAAATATAGCAAAGAAGACGACGGACGACGATGATGATGGCGAACGTGACGCATGACGCGCAAAGACGACGGACGACAGAACGACGAATACGGCGGGAAGACGGCGAACACGGCGAATACGAGGGAGGAGGACGACGACGACGACGGCCGACGACGACGATAGCCGACGACTCGCGACGACGAATACACCGACGACCAAAACTGACGCCGACGAGGACGGCGTCATCGTGCGACGCAGGCGTCGACGACGACGAACACGTCGACGATGACGATGCCGATGCTGGCGTCGTCGTTGTCCTCCCTCCCTCCCTCCGCCCCCTCCCTCCTTGAAGTGCGGCTGCGTCGTCGTCCCTCCTCGCGAGATCGGGCGCACGCTCAACCTGTGTTTGGGATCCGCGGGTCTGGCGCGTGAGCGCCGGCTCCTCGGATCGCGGAGGGCGCTCGCCCGAGGAGTGACGCCAGTGCGGCCCCAACCCGGCGGCGCAGCGCTCGGATTCTGCACGGAGCCAGGACCTGTCGCCAACCCAGGCACCTGGGTCCATGTCTGCGTTTCTTCGTTCCTCCTCCTCTTCCTCCTCCTTCTCCTCTAGGGGGAAACCAAACCTACCTCGCTTTTGACCACCCTCGCTTCCAAGAGATACCAAACGATGCCAAACTACGGCCTGTACTGGTCAGGCCGCTTGACGAGGAGGCACGTGGTATGACTTGGTTTTGCCTGGAAGCCAAAGCGGGGTAGGTAATCCACGCTCTGATCCTCGACCCGCATCCTCCATGATTATTCTCATCCCCCTCCTCGCTCCGACTCCGCGGCCCTCATCCCTGCCCCCCCTCGCACCGTGCGAGCAGTCCGAGAGGGCGATGGGGGAGGCAGAGGAGGATCGAGGCGGGGGGAGCCGGGGATGGGCAAGGGGCATCGGGGAGGGGCATCGAGAGCGAGGCTCGGAGGCGAGCATCGAGGTACCCGTCGCCAGTCCACCGACTCGACGACCTGACAGCGCCGCCGTCGCCCGCGCCGCCGCCGCCGCGCCGCCCGCCGAATGAGCCGCGCCGCCGCCGCCCTCGCCGATGGAGCTGCGCCTCCAAGCTCGGGAGCGGCCAAGAGGGGTGTCCAAGAGGGAGGGGTGCAAATCATGACCGGCGGCGTGTGCGCGGCCCAGCGGGGGGGCCAGGGACGTAATGAGATAAGAAGAGGCGCCATGAAATCTTGGGAAATCCGCCGATCCGGCGTGTGAGTTTCAAGGAGTCTCAGCTACAGCCTCGAGGCTGAGCTTCAGCCTCTGGGGGGGTCGCCGGGGTGGCTCTGCCGGGGAAGGGGGGGTGGGGGGGGGGGGGGGGGGTGCGAGTTTCCGGCGAACCCCGGGGCCGCTCCGGGGGAGTGGAAGATAGGGGGGGGGGGGGCGCCATGCTCCGCTTTTTCCGGCGCTTTGGAGGAGGGGGGGGGCCCAAGAGACCCCCAAGGGGTTCCAAGAGGGCCCCGAGTCGCCGAAAAATCGCTCCAAGACGCCCGAGATGGCCTCCAGACGGCCCAAGGTGTCTCCAAGACGCCCCAAGAAGCTTCCAAGAGGCCTCCCAAGAGGGCCCCAAGAGGCCAGAATCGTTGATTTTCATTGGTTTTCTCAGGGTTTTTAGCGTTCTTGCCTTTTCGGGCGTCCGACGCTCGAAGACGGCCCAAGAGGCCCCCAAGTCCGTCCCAAGACGGCCCACGATGCTTCCAACACGGCCCAAGAGAGCCCCAAGACGGCCCAAGAGGGCCCCAAGACGGCCCAAGAGGGCCTCTGGACAGCCCAAGAAGGCCCCAAGAGAGCCCCAAGAGGGGCCCAAGAGGGGGACCACGAACCGAAAGAACCGAGCTTTCCGCCCCAAGAGGCCCCCAGGAGGCCCCAAGAGACCCCCAAGGGGCCCCAAGAAGCCCACAAGAGGCCCAAAAGAGGTTCCAAGAGGCCCCAAAACAGCTCCCCAGAGGCCTCCAGACTGCCTCCGGCAGGCCCCCGGTTTCTTCCGCGGCACCGCCCAGGGCGCCACCGGCAGGATGTCCTCCGTCTCATCGTTTTCCTTCAAGTTATCGCCTCTTCCTCATTCTCCTCCTCCTCCTCTGCGACCTCACTCCTATCCCTCAACGATCGCGTCACCGAGTGCCTCTTCTTTGAAACATCCTCGCTCTTCAAACGCACATCCATACACACATGCATACATACCTACATTTAAACACATTTGCATACATAGAAAAACAATCTTCCAGACATACATACTTACATTCACACACATACACACATATTATCATACACACATACAAACATACATACAAACTAAATACATACATACGCGCACAAGCATACATACATACATACGTACCTACACACAGGCACACATGATCAATGCATGCATACATGCATGCACGCGTACATACACACACATATATCGTGAAACTCACCGCGTGCTCGAAACTTGAGAGAGACCGCGGGAAGTCGAGAGAAGCCGCGGAACGAGGCCTCTACTACTACTACCACTACTACCACAACCACTACTACTACTACTACTACTACTACTACTACTACTACTACTACTACTACTACTACTACTACTACTACTACTACTACTACTAATACTACTACTAGTACTACAGGAGCGTTTCCCAACTAGTATGTGTGTGTGGGTGATGCTGTGTGCGCATGTCTGCGGCGCAGGTTAAGTGGTGTGACTGTGTGTGTGCGTTTGAGTGTGCGCCCATAATTTCTGCGTCTGGAGAATAACCCCGAGCGACCCGGATCGGCGGCACTGGCCGAAGGCCACTACAATAGCATGGCCCACGCCATGATATCCACCCCCCCCCTAGTCATCACCCCCCTCTCTTCCGCCCCCGACAAGCCGCCGCCGCGGCGCGCCGCCGCGGCCGCGGCCGCGGCCACCACCACACCGACCAGCCATAACTGGGGGAGCTGTGGTCCTTACCCCCCTGGGGGAACCCATCGCCTCGACGATCTCTCGAGAGGGGTGTCGAAATCGATGGGTCCCCCAGGGGGGTAAGGACCACAGCTCCCCCAGTTGTGGCTGGCACACCGCCGCGCCCCCGCCGCCGCCGCCCTCCGCGGCGCGGCCGCGGCAGCCGCGCCGCCCGCCCGCCCGCCCGCGCCTTGTGGTGTGCGGCGCTCGCGGGCCACCGGCCGTGCCTGGCGGGGTCGGGCTCGGGCGCGGCCTCCACGTCGCGGCGCCAGGGCGCCTGGGGGCGGGGCCGGGCGCCGCGGGGCGGGCGGCGGCGCCGGCGAGGGCGACGAGGAGGGCGACGGCGACGGGGACGACGGCGAGGGGGCGACGAGGACGCGGACGCCGAGGGCCAGGGCGACGGATGATGGCGGGCGACGGCGACGGCGACGGCGACGGCGACGGCAACGACGACTGAGCGACGTGGACGACGAGGGCGAGGGCGACTGACGACGACGACGACGAAAACGACGACGACGACGACGGCGACGACGGACGACGACGACGACGCCGACGCCGACGCCGACGCCGACGCCGACGCCGACGCCGACGACGACGACGACCGCGACGATCCATCGACTGATGAGCTAGCGGTTACGACGACGACAGGGCGGCGAATTTGTGGCAGAACAGGACTCTCGGATGATGACGGCAGAGACGACGACGAGGACGACGACGAGGACGGAGGATGACGGCGGACGGCGGCGGCGGCGGCGGCGGCCCCCAGGACCACCAACATCGAAGGGCCCCCAAACGACGTCCAAAAGGCAGCCCGCGAGACCCCCTCCCCAAGAGGCCCTCAAGAAACCTAGCAGCAACCGCGGAGGAAGAAGAGGATACACCAACAACCATGATTCGCAGGCAACACGTCGGGAAACGGGAAGCAACAAATACGAGTTCGGAAACTGCGCATATCCCCTTTTCCGGGACCAGCGGAATGGCGTTAGCCTCTCGAACAAGAACGAACAGCGACCCTAAAACATCAACCCGTCGTCTCAAACGGTCTCAGCCAACACAAGTTCCGAATGCACGTCTTACAAACCCCGTAGCGCGTCCTTATGAATAACAGGCGTCGGTGGGCATCCATGCCCTGACCAAAACACTTCGACGACCATGTCGGCACACCCCTTCACACGTTTTCGTGGCCCCATAGGGAGTTCCACGTAATGTCACAATGGCTGGACTCGCACGCGGCTTCGCGCCCCTCCGCACGACCATCTTGGCACACAACTCACACGCTTCGTGGCCGCGTAGGGAGCTCTACCTGCTGCCCCAATGGTGAACTCGCATGCGGCCCCGTGCCTTTCTGCACGACCATTTGGGTACACCCCTCACACGCTTCGTGGCCCGTAAGGCGTCCCACCCAATTCGCCAGTCGTTGTGTTCGCATGTGGCTCCCAACCCCTCCACGCGACTACTTCGGCTGACCCCTCACACGCTTCGTGATCCCATAACAGGAGCAGCGCGATCCTCCGACCCCATCTGCTCCGACCCCATCTGAGGGGCCTAGATCATTCCGATCGCGCCTCGATTCAAATTCGGTCCCCGGGCCCCTCCTAAAGCCCATCTGGTGCAATTCTTCGCCCCGGGCACGTTTCTGGCAGCCCTGGTGACCGAACATGGCCCCTGGAGGCCGACAGGGGCTCAAGACCCGCCCGAACTCAGAACCTCGAACCTCCCCCCCCATCCACATCCGCGCCCTCGCGGCCTCAACCTCTGGGGCGCGATCCTGGTCGCACGGCTACGCTCCGCGAAGGAGCACCCCTGCACAAGACGCTCCCTGGACTCCGCGGGGCCGCAGCCCGGGGGCCCGGCCTGGCCCGCGGCAGAGGGGCGCAGGCTCACCCTGAGAATCCGTGCCCCGGCGAGCGACGCTGCTTGGCAGCCGCACCCGAGGAAGAAGCCGATCGGGGTAGGGCCTGCTGGCGGGCACCACTGCTGGGCCGCCTCCGGCCCCCGGGCGGCCCCGAGCGGGGCGCGGAGGTCACCACCCACCAAACCACCCCCACCCAACCCGAAGGCCCCGATTTGCCCTCCATTTCCAGTGGGGGGGGGCCGGGGGACATGGACAAAAATACGCATGGAACCCGTCCCCCCCCTAACGTGAAATGCGGGCCTTCGGGTTGGGTTGGGGGGGTCTGGTAGGTGGTCAGGGGGAGGGGCGGGGCGCGCTCTCGTCAAAACGAGGGGGCTAAGGCTCGCTTCGATCGCGCCATCGCTCGGACGTCCATTTCCCGTGCCTTTGTTCGGTTTCGTGCGTGGTTTTTTCGTCAGATGATCACGGGATGCTCCTCGATGGCCCTCGCCGAAGGAAAAATGCACACGTCCGAGCGATGCCAAGCCCCCGGACGGCTCCGAGCGGGGCGCACCGATCGGGGCGATGGCTCGCTCCGATCCGCGCCGCGAGGGCGCCGCCTGCACGCGCGGGCCCACGCCGGCGTACGCCCAGCCCGCCTGGGCCGCGTGCGCGGCGCTCGGTGGCCGCGGCTGCTCCTGCCCAAGGGGTGGGGGGGGGGGGGCGGGCCGGGTGCGCCGCCGAAGGAGGGGGGAGGAGGAGGAGGAGGAGGAGGAGGAGGAGGAGGAGGAGGAGGAGGAGGAGGAGGAGGAGGAGGAGGGGGAGGAGGGCATGGGACGCACAGACGGGCGTGCCTGTGCTCTGCCTCCTCCTCACGCGTCGTATCATTCGTCGACGGTCGGAAGGAGTGGGCAGAGACCTGAAGCAGGAGGGCAGCGGGAGCAGATTGGGTGTCGGGCCGCCCCCTGCAGAGGAGGGACGAGGGAAGGCCACTCGACCCTTGAAGTAGGAAGGCGGCTAACATAGATTTGGATCTGGGTATCAAGCAATTACACCAGAGAAACACCCTGATCAATGGATGGCTTGATCGATAAAGAGATCGACCGGGAACCCTGGAACTGGTGACCCACCGAAAGCGGCCAGGAACCAATAACCAAGAACCCAGGAACCCGGAACCCATCCAGCCACCAAAATCGGCGGACACTCTCGCCAAATCTTTCTATTTCCGCTATGACCCCTTCAGTGCAAGCACTGATTGGGGAACATGCACGTACCACCAACGGGTATCCATCTTGTAGTAGATCATTGTCCGAGCAGTATGGCCAGAGAGCGCCAGACACGGAGCTTACACTAGAAGATTTGTCGGCACGCGCGTCGCCCCCTGGGGGGACGACGAACACTCACAGTACTACAATCGTCGACCTGACCTAGGGAACGATCAACAAGGAACGAAGTCCCCCTTTTTTACCAAGGAATAACACATAAGGAACGATAAGGAACGATAATAACGCATGCAAGAAGCCTCAGGAACGACGGAGCCCCTTTTGAGAAGTAAGCGTTCCTTATTCAAGCCGCTCACTGTAGTGTTCTGTGGTGACGCCGACAGCAGGCACAAAGATTTTGGACTGCGCACCGTTCGACCGATCCCTATCCTCACTGGCGTGGCCTGGGCCCCACTGGCTGATTTACCCGTCTAGATGGGGATGCAGGCTGCTTCCATCGGATTTTTAAGGCTATCTCCCAAACTGGGATGGTGGGATGGCGGGGATTGGGATGGGGATCGGGATCGGTTGAACGAATTTGGGGATTGCGCCCCCGACACCAGCGAAGGCTGGCCGGGGGCTGAAAGTCGGCACTCAACACGCCAAGCAGAGAAGGGGCTGCTCCCCTAGCACTGCATCGGCTCGGGCGCTACAGTCGGGGGCTTGACCTAAGGAACCCTAAATAAGGAACGAGGCCCCTTTTTTCGATGAGTTAAACTTCGATTTCCGATCGAACACAGGAGAAAAACCTGAGGCAAGCTGCGAAACACTTAAGGAACGCGGAGCCCCTCCCCAACCAAAAGGGTTCCTTCTTCAGGGCCCCGACTGTAAGGTTGCGGGCATGGAGGAAAGGGCGCCACCTCAACAGAGCTTTCCCAACTACGGGGACGGGCGCGCAACGCCGTAGCGCTTACATGGGGGCGTCGAGGAAGCCGCGTTGAAGTGCAGACCACTGCTCGGCAGCGAAAGGCAGTAGAACCCATTGTCGTGGCTTTGCTGCAATTCCTTGTGATCGTGGATCGCTGCATGTCGTTTGCCCACCTCCTGCGAGGACGATTCGGCAGCGTGTCTTTTGCTCGTCTGTCCCTGCTGGCGTCCCACACGTTAGCTCGCGGCGACCATCTTCCAAGAGAAAGCAGCAGGGCTCGACCAAACCAATGTTTCGTTTTCCTGCTGTTTTCGTTTTCTTTCGTTTTGTCTTCGTTCCACCTTCGCTGCAAAACGAAGTCAAAACGAACACGGTCCACGAAATTGCAAAACAACACCGTTTAGGTCGAGCCCTGGGGGGCAGGAGGGGCAACGACTGGGGCTGGAGAGACTCGAGAAGGGAACAATCGACCTGGAATCATCGATGCATCGCCGATAGGCCATTGATAGCGAATCCGTGCGCTCCTGGGCAGTATGGGCTATCATGCCCCTGAAGGCGATCAGTGGGCGACTGGCATTCCCTGACAAGAGGAGGAGGAGGAGGAGGAGGAGAAGGAGGAGGAGGAGACAGGAAGACGAGAAGAGGCATGGTGAGCCTTGCTGCTGGCCCCAGCCTGCACAGGAGAAGGACGCAGGAGGACGAGAAGGAGGGATGCCTCAATATCAAACGTCTCGATACAGTCGGGGCGTTGACCTAAGGAACCCTAAATAAGGAACGAGGTCCCGTTTTTCCATAAGTTCAACTTCGATTTCCTATCGAAGACATTCGGGAAACCTGAGGCAAGCTGTGAAACACTTAAGGAACGCGGAGCCCCTCCCCAACGAAAAGGGTTCCTTCCTCAGGGCCCCGACTGTAATCAGGACACCGAAATTGTCGGCGGCTTTCGGCCTCCGCGGGCTCTCGCCGGGCCCCGGGACCGTCGAAGAACGACTCGGGATGGACGGCCCTCGGGAAAGGGTCGGGACTTCGGAGACACCGCATCGAGAAAATCAAGACGTCGCACGGCGAGGCAATTGGAGCCTTGCGCTGCAGGCCCAGGCGGGCGCGACTTCGCCCCCTCCGCCCCTCCCCGCGAGCGGCCAGTGCTGGGTTGCCGCGCGCCCTGGCTGGCCGCTCCGGCATGGGGAGAGCGCCCCGGCTGCGTCGATATATACGTAGCGAAAGCCATTGCATGAAGCCGATCGTGGCTACAAAGTAAGAAAGGTGTGCGGCACTGCCCTTCTAGAAGCAAGCTGACTTCGCTTTCGTACCACTCTCGAATATCTGACCAAACTTTCGTACCACTCTGGACCGCACCGGAGAAAAAAGCGGAGGGCGGAGCGCGCCAGATGTCCCGTGGCGTCTCTTTCACGCCGTGAGCATGTCTTGGCTGGTGCCCTCCGAAAGGTCTCCGAAAAAAGGAGATCGTCGTCGACGACGTCGTCGTGGTCTACGTCGACGCCGTCGTCGTCGTCGTCGTCGTCGACATCGAGGTCGTGGTCGTGGTCGTCGTCGTCATCGTCACCCTGGTCGTCGTCGACGTCGTCGTCGTCGTGGGCGTGGTCGTGGTCGTCGTCGTTATCGTCGTTCTTGTCGTCGTCGTGTTGGTAGTCGTCGTCATCGTGGTCGTGGTCGTCGCCGTCGTTGTTATCGTCGTCGACGTCGAGGTCGTCGCCGACGTCGTCGTCGTCGTCGTCGTCGTCGTCGTCGCGGTCGTCGTCGTCGACATCGTCGTCGTCGTCGTGGTCGTCGTCGACGTCGTCGTCGTGGTCGTGGTGGTCGTCGTCGTCGGCGTTATCGTCGTCGTCGTCTTCGTCGTGGCCGTCGCGGTCGTCGACGACGTCGTCGTCATCGTCGTCGTCGTCGTTGCCGTCGTCGTCGTCATCGTCATCGTCATCGTGGTCGTGGTCGTGATCATCGTCGTCGTTATCGTCGTCGTCGTGGTCACCGTCGTGGTCGTCGACATCGTCGGCGAAGTGGTCGTGGTCGTCGTCGTCGCTGCTATCGTCGTCATCGTCGACGTCGTCGTGGTCGCCGTCGTGGTCGTCGACGTCGTCGTCGTCGTCGTGGTCGTCGTCGTTGTGGTCTTGGTCATCTTCGTCGTCGTCGTCGTCAATATCGTCGTGGTCTTAGACATCGTCGTGGTCGTCGATATCGTCGTGGTCCGCGTCGTCGTGGACGTCGTGGTCGTCGTCGTCGTCGTCATGGTCGTGGTCGTGGTCGTCGTCGTCATCGTCGTTCTCGTCAACGTCGTGGTCGTAATCGTCGTCATCGTGGTCGTGGTCGTGGTCGTCGATATCGTTACCGTCGTCGTCATAGTCGTGGTCGTGGTCGTTGTCGTGGTCGCCGTCGTGGTCGTCAACGTCGTCGCCAACGTCGTGGTCGTGGTCGTGGTCGTCGTTATCGTCGTCGACGTCGTCATCGTCATCGTCGTCGTCGTGGATGTCGTCGTCGTGGTCGCCGTCGTGGTCGTCGTTATCGACGTCGGTCTCGATATCGTCGTAGACGTCGTCGTCGTCGTCGTCGTGGTCGTCGTGGCCGCCGTCGTCGTGGGCGTCGTCGTCCTCGTCGTCGTTGTCGTCGTGGTCGTGGTCGTGGTCGTCGACGTCGTCATGGTCGTTGTGGCCGCCGTCGTTGACGTCGTCGTCGTCGACCTTGTCGTCGTCGTCGTCGTGGTCGTGGTCGTCGTCGTCGTTGGCATTATGTTCGTCGTCGTTGTTATCGTCGTCGTGGTCGTGGTCGTCATCGTCGTCGTCGTTATCGTCGTCGTCGTGGTCGCCGTCGTGGTTGCCGTCGTCGACGTCGTCGTCGTCGTGGTCGTCGTCGTCGTCGTCGATGTCGCCGTCGTGGTCGTGGTCGTCGTTATCTTCGTCGTCGTCATCCGTCGTCGTGGTCGTGATCGTCGTCGTCGTCGTTGTCGGTATAGTCGTCGTCGTCGTCGTGGTCATCGGCATCGTCGACGTCGTGGTCGCCGTCGACGTCGATGTCGTCGTCGTGGTAGTGGTCGTCGTCTTCGTCGTCGCTGTCGTCGTCGTCGTGGTCGCCGTCGTGGTCGCCGACGTAGTCGTCGTCGTGGTCGTGGCGGTCGTCGTCGTCGTCGTCGTCGTCGTCGTCGTCGTCGTCGTCGTCATCGTCGTCGTCGCGGTCGCCGCAGTGGTCGTCGACGTCGTCGTCGTCGTCGTGGTCGTGGCCGCCGTCGTCGTCGACGTCGTCGTCGACGTCGGCGCGCCGGCCGTCCTCGCGGTGCCAGGCTCCAGCGGCCGCGCTGCGGCCGCGGGCGGCGTCGGGCCCCCAGGGCAGCGGGCCCGAGGGCGCCCCGCGGGGCGCCTCCGTGGCACCGCCCCGGGGGGGGGGGGCGAGGAGGCTCGAGGAGGGCGATGCCCGCGCGCCTGCTCCTCCTGCTGCTCCGCCTGCTCCTCCTGCCCCTCCTCCCGCTGCTCCTCCCGCTGCTCCTCCTGCTGCTGCTCCTCCTCCTCCTCCTGCTGCTCCTCCTCCTCCTCCTCCTGCTCCTCCTCCATCTCCTCCTCCTCCTCCTCCTCCTCCTCCTCCTCCTCCTCCTCCTCCCACTCTTAATGCTCATCATGCTCTTCCTCCTCCTCCCCTTCCCCCCTGCTCTGCCCAACCCCACCTCTGAGGGGGAGGGACCTCGAGCCGAGGGCGCGGGAGGGCTGCGAGGCTCGATGGCCGATAGTTGGCCATAGGCTGGATTCATGCGCCAAGCTCTGCATCAGAGACTGGGGTTCAGTTCTCAAAGTCAAGGGCCACGTCGCCGACAGCCATGACCTCTCGACGGAGTAACTCGAACACACATATGGCAATGACCAAGCTCTGACCGTGCGGCTAAGGCTGCGGCCTTGCGCAGTCCTCGGCCATCGCCGACCGGTTGAGCAAGCTACCCGCGTTGCACGCGTCTCGCGTGCAGTGTGCAGGCAAGCTCTTTCCCCAAAGTATGCCTCTTTGGCTCAGGTTGGACCTCGCGGGAGTCCCCTGGGGGGGGGGCAAAAAGCATCTGCTTCGAGACCTCCCCCTCCGTCCCCTCACGACTGGCACTGGGAAGGCGATCGTTGGATATATATATATATATATATATATATGTATGATATGTAATATATATATATATATATATGTGTATACATACATACATATACACATAATCGTGTTTCGGTGCAACCAGAGGGTCCTGGAAACGGAAGCGAGGTCGTTGCACATGGGCCACGACCCGCAGAGGCATCCCAGGCCAGAATTTGCGTATCTCGGCACCAACAATGGTGAAGGTATTCTTGCTATTTGCGCAGTGTGCTCTTGCCACACATCCGGCGGCCGAATCAGGGGTCTCCGAGAAAAGTGCTCAGGGCCCCTGACCTCAGACACGCGCGACAACGGACGCCGTCACATGCGGTCATGCACCACGGGAGGGGCCCTGGGACACACAAATGCATACACGCAAATAGAAAAGGACTCCCCATGTCTTCCTATGGTTTCTGGGCTTTTTTGTTTTCCCCCCCACTTCCCATATTCCCACCTATTTTCCGGGGGAATCGACGATGAAATGTGTGTCTCTGTTTTTTTTCCCTTCTCCTATAGCTTCTGGGCTCTGGTCTTCCCCCCCACTTCCCATACTTCCCCCCCTAGGTTCCTGGGGAGTCGACGAGGAATCGTGTCTCTGTGTTCCCCCCCCCCCCCCCTGAATCAGGGGAGAGAGCATGGGGAAAAAAAAACGTCCCGGGAGCGGCGTCCCGCACCCCCGGGGAGCCGACGGGAGGGGCGGCCTCTGGGCGAGAGCACAGCTTCTGCGGGCTCCGCCTCCCCCCTGGTCGGCAGCCGAGGCTGCCTGCCTCCGGGCGAGAGGTGCGCAGTCCGGGGCAGGTTTTGGCGGGCCGGGGCGAAAAGGGGGGGATAGCAAAGGGGGGCTTGAGAATCAGCTCACGCACTCCAGATTTCGTAATAGAAGGGAGGGGGTCTGGACCCTCCAAGACAAGCCATTTCAGACCTCCCCCGTGGGAGAACCCTCCAAAACATCGTCCCCAGACCCCCCCAGGCCCTCCAAGATAGCCTGGAAGAGACCCCCCCCGAAATGAGACCCCCCTCCCTTTATTACGAAATCTGGAGTAGCTGATTTTCCCGGCGCCTCCCGGCGCCGAGAGGCGCCCATGTATCGAGGAATGGGCCCGGCGGCGGGGCCGGAACCAGCTGCATGCAGCAGACGTCGTAACCCCCCCTTTCCCAAACCCCCCCTTTCGCCCGACCCGATTTTAAGGCATGGAGTTTCTAAAAGAATATACAGGATTTGTGATGCATGATTCATGTATGAATGAATTTCTGCATGAACTCATCGTTGTTTGTGATGCTAAATCCCTGCATCTGTAATACATGATCCGCACGCAGAGCATGTATTAAAAACGGCACTGTGTGATCGAGTGGTTGATGTGAAAATCCTTCTCCTTCCCCTCCCTTCTCGTGATCCTGCTCCTGCTCCTCATCGGGAGCACGAACTCGGCCAGGAGGATCGTGAGCAGATCGAGGCGTGCTGCGAGTTGCTCAACGAAGGAATGAAGAAGATGTGCACGGAGCTCTTCGCCCAAGCCAGAATGCCAATGCCGATCGCATCCGTCCCGAACGCGAGGAACACGTCAAGAAGCTGGCCGCCACGAGGCCACGCTCCGGTACAGTCTCGGCTCCAGAAAGTGCGGTCGGAGGAACTGGAATGCCCGAAATGGGTACGGAACAAATGGGTACAATGCCCAACAGCAAATGTTGTCCCAAACCAACAGCCGCCGCTGTTGGGCAGGCGACCTTCTGTCTCAAGTGGACACAGGCCGCGGCGGCGCAGACAGCGAATTCTGTTCCGAATCAGCAGGAACTGCTGTTGGGCATTGTACCCATTCTTTCCGTACAGTCGAGGCGTTGACCTGAGGAACCCTTAATAAGGAACGAGGCCCCTTTTTTCCATAAGTTAAACTTCGATTCCCCATGAGAAACTTAAGGAACTTCTTAGGCAAACTGCGAAACAAATAAGGAATACCGAGCCCCTCCCCAACGAAAAGGGTTCCTTCTTCAGCGCCCCGATTGTATATCCATTTCGTTCGTGCCGACGAAGAGCTGCGAAAAGGGCTGCTGCTGGAGGAAGGGCCTCTTCCTCTCCGGCTGCCGCTGGCTCCGTGCAGGGCGGCGGCGGCCGCTGCTGAGGGCCGCCGCGGCTCAAGAGCTCGGGCACGCACCTCCCGTCGTGCTTTCACGACGCGAGCGGGTTCCGTCTTCGGGCCGCAGCCGGTGCCTCTATATAGCGGCCGTTCGGGCGAGGCGAGGCGCAGCCGACGGAACCCCCCCGGGGCCTCCGAACACTACCGACATCTGCCGAGCACCTCCCGCCGCGACTTCTTTTCGCGAAGCGAGCACGTCTGGGCGGGTGCCCTCCGAGAAAAGTTGTTCCGCAGCGAGGGGGTCGTCTGGGCATCGCTCGGACGTCCATTCCCTGTGTTTTTTGTCGGTTTCGCGCGTGGTTTTTCCGCCAAGTGATCCAGGATGCTCCTCGATGGTCCTCGCCGAAGGAAAAATGCACACGTCCGAGCGATGTCAAGCCGTCGTCGTCGTCGTCGTCGTCGTCGTCGTCGTCGTCGTCGTCGTCGTCGTCGTCGTCGTCGTCGTCGTCGGCGACACGCGGCGCCGGGGCCTCGGCGACGCCGCCGGCGGGCTCGAGCAGAGGGCGCTGCCGCGGGGGCCCCGGGGGCGCGCGGTCGATGGACGGCAGCCCGAGCAGCAGCTGTATCTCGCGGGCGGGGAGGGGCGGGAGGGCTTCGCCGCCGCCGCGGCCGCCGTCGTCGTCGTCCTCGTCGTCCTCGTCCCTCCGTCGTCGTCCTCGTCGTCGTCCTCGTCGTCGTCCTCGTCGTCCTCGTCGTCGTCGTCGTCGTCCGTCGTGTCCTCGTCGTCGTCGTCCTCGTCGTCGTCCTCGCCGTCCTCGTCCCCGTGGCCGTCGCCGTCGCAGCTGCACCTCCGGGGAATCAAACGTTGCGTTCGCTTTTTGTCAGGAAGCCCGGCTCAATCAAAATGGCTGCGGGCCAACAACACATCACGGCAACTGGCTAGCGGCAAATAGCAGCACACGTCCCGCACCAACTGCCCACCAATCACCTGCTATTCGCCGCTAAGCGCCCAAAGGGAAAGCTGTCGGCGAAATCCGCCACCGTTCCCCCCAGGCTCTCATGTGTCCTTCTGTCCTCTGTGCTCGGGACTCTGGTACTATAGGTAAGGGCTGGAGCCAACAAATCTCAAATTTCCTGGGCGTTCCCGAGCGTTCTCGGGCTGCCTCGCATGGCTTTTCCAAGGGCCAGAGGGCCCCAAGACGGGCCAAGAGCGCCCCGGAGAGCGCCCAAGCGGGTCCAAGGGGCCTTCAAGACAGCCTAAGAGCGTTCCAAGATGGCCCCAAGACGGCCCGAGAGGCCCCAAAGAAGCCCCAAGAGCGCTCCAAGAGGAGCCCCAACAGGGCCTCAAGAGGGACAACTCATTGATTTTCCTTGAGTTGTTCGATGTTTTTGGCCCCAGATGCCCCCAAGACCGTCCCAAGATGGCCCATAAGGCCACCAAGAGGGCCCCGAGACTGTCCAAGGGCCCCACAACGCCCAAGAGGCGCCCAAGATCGCCCAAGACGGCTCCACGGCCCAAGAGGGGGAACACGAACCGACAATTCGAGCATTCCGCCCCAAGAGGCCCCCAGGAGGCCCCCAAGAGGGAAGAGAGCAATGGAGAGAGCGAGAGGAGGGTGATTTGGAGGGCAAGGCTAAGCCAGGACGATGATACAATCGTGTGAAGATAAATTGAGAATCTCTGAGATCCGGCGGCTCTGGAGGATATCTCGGGCGCCGCGGACTTCTCAGAGCGTTCGGGAACGCTGTGAGAGCGTCCCGGAAAGCTCTGGCACGGATTTTGCCTCGTCCTGGCCCCGTCCGAGAGGGGGAGGCACACAATGGGCCAATGGCACGGGGACAGACGGGAGCCAGCCCGGGCAAACACGGAACAATATGGAGCGGTTCACAGAGCATCCGCTCCGAGCCTCCAAGAAAGCAGACGAGTTAGGCATCGAACTCGGTCCCCAAGGGCTGGGTGGTTGCCCTCCGCTGGCCAGCCACGGGCCAGGGGGCGCCGATGGGCAGGTCTGCCCGAGGGTCTCAGACTTCGGTGGGGGACCGCATGCGAAGCCTACCACTACCCCCCACGATTTCTGAGGGGGAGGGTGGGGTTCACTTCGTTCGGGAGCTCGCGAGCGAAGTGAACCCCACCCTCCGCCTCAGGAATCGTGGGGGGCAGGGGTAGGGTTCGCATGTGGCCTCCGATTCGGGGACCCTCAGAGCACCGCACCGACCGCAGCATGGAGAGTCACGAGCCCGAGCGGAAAATGCGAAGACCGTCGCATTCAGGTCGGACCCCCCACACGCCCCACGGCACGGCATGGGGAAGGAGAGAGGGGGGGGGAGGATGGGGAGGAGGTGGAGGGAAGGCGAGAGGAGGACTGGGCATCGCTCGGACGTCCATTCCCTGTGTTTTTTTTGGTTTCGTGCGTGGTTTTTCGCCAAATGATCCAGGATGCTCCTCGATGGTCCTCGCCGAAGGAAAAATGCACACGTCCGAGCGATGCCAAGAGGAGGAGGTGGAGGTGGAGGAGGAAGGAAGAGTTCGGGGTGGAGAAGAGCTGGGAAGGTGGCGGAGGAGATGCCAAAGGAGGTCGAGGAAGCGGTGCAGGAGGACGTGGGGAGGAGGCGGAGGTCGGCCACCGCAGACGCCTCGCCCTCCAGGGAGGTGCGCAGGCAGCAGCAGGTGGAGCTGGAGAGGTGGTGGGAGAGGAGGCGGAGGTGGTGGAAGAGGGCGCCCTCCGCGCCGGAGCGACCCGCCCTCTGCCTCTCGAGAGCGGCAGAGGGGGGGGGAAGGAGGAGGAGGAGGAGGAGGAGGAGGAGGAGGAGGAGGAGGAGGAGGAGGAGGAGAGGAGGAGGAGGAGAAGGGGGAGGAGGAGGAGGAGGAGGAGGAGGAGGAGGAGGAGGAGGAGGAGGAGGAGGAGGAGGAGGAGGAGGAGGAGGAGGAGGAGGAGGAGGAGGAGGAGGAGGAGGAGGAGGAGGAGGGGGAGGGGAGGAGGAGGAGGGGGAGGAGGAGGAGGAGGAGGAGGAGGAGGAGGAGGAAGAGGAGGAGGAGGAGGAGGAGGAGGAGGAGGAGGAGGAGGAGGAGGAGGAGGAGGAGGCGGAGGCGGAGGTTTGAGGAGGCGGGGCCTCGGCGTAGGCGGCGGCCCCACCGCGCCGCTGCAGCGGCCCCACGGAGGGCAGCACCTGCTGGCCGGACGAGGCCGCTGCGCGAGCCCTCCGCCGCCCGGCCCTCGCCGTGGCCGTGGCCGTCGTCGCCGCCGTCAGCAACAACAGCAGCAACAACAGCAGCAACAACAACAGCAACACCAACACCAACAGCAACAGCAACAACACCACCACCACCACCACCACCAACAACAACAACACCAACACCACCAACAACACCACCACCAACAACAACAACAGCAACAACACCAACAACAGCAACAACAACAACAACAACAACAACAACAACAACAACAACAACAGCGAAACCAACAACAACAATCATTTTAAGACTGCTACCTCTTACTGCGCGTCTTCAGTCTGTATACCCCAAGCCTCGATACTCGCTCACTTCGTCTTCGATATCATCCCCTTTCGGGGGGAATATCTTCCTTGTCGGCCACTGACTGAAGTGCGAGGAACGCTCGAGCGAGATCGCCGTTGCTGAGTTCGGGGGCCTCTCTGGCTAGGCCAGGTGCTCTCGGAATACAGATTGAGAAGCATCTAACGGGAATCCTTGTCGCCGTGTCTGTGCCTCCACCAACTTGCCTGACTTACGAGAAAAGTTCGAGCGAGAGCGCAACTCTTGAGTTCGGGGGCCTCTCTGGCAAGGGCCTCTGCCAATACATCTTGAGGAAGTATCGAGCGAGAGCCCTTGTCGTCGTAATTAACTGGGCCTCCACCAGTTTGACTGAATCACGAGAAAGTCTCGAGCGAGAGCGCCGTTCCTGAGTTCGGGGACCTTCCTGGCCAGGGCTCTCGGAATAAATCGTGAGGGAGTATCGAGCAGTAGCCCTTGTCGTAGTGGCTGGGCCTCCGCCAACTCGACTGAATTGCGAGGAAGTCTCGAGCGAGAACGCCGTTTCTAAGTTCTGGGGCCTCTCTGGCCAAGGTAATTGTGAGGAGATATCGAGCGGGAACCGTTGTCATCGTAGCCGGGCCTCCAAGTGCACACTTTTGCACTCCAGCCAACGCTCGAGCGGGAACCTCGTTTTCATAGAACATGTAGCCGGCGTCGCGGCGAGAGCGCGTGGAACCGTTTCCGGGGAGATCAGCAATACCTATTTCTAGAAATGAAAACTCAACAACAACAACACCAACAACACCAGCAGCAGCAACAACACCAACAATCAACTTAAACTTGTTCGCTCCTATAATCTCGCCTGCCAGCCAACACGTATATCCAATACTCTCGGTACCCATCCACTTCGCAACAACAACACCAACAACAACACCAATCATTTAAGACTGGGGACACTCCGTTCTCACCAGTGCCAGGGTTTTCATAGGAGGCGGGCAATACCCCCACTTTGTGGGGGGGCCGGTTCAAGCTCTACCAAATTTCCAAACGACTCTTCGCCACCACCCACACCCAGCTTCCCGCCCTATGACGTTCGGACACTTCACTTCGTGGCATGCGGACGACCGTGGCTACTATTCAGGGCCCCGCGGCCGACGACGACGGCGTGCGCGCGCGAAGAAAAAACGAATGTGTCCCGCATGGTATTATTTGACAGGGATGATGGCCCTGGCAGGTGCGCAACCGTTGTCGCAGAAGTTCGAAAAAGTTGCTCGCAAAAGCCCGTTTGACAGAAATGTTTAAAAAGTGTTGGTTTCCTACGAATCCGCAAGAGCGCGCGGAAGGACATTTTGACAATTTTTTATTAAAAAACCATTGGGTTTTTGATGTTTTTATGTTGAAATCGTTACGAAACCTAAGGTTTTGGAAGGATTTCGTCTTGCGCGCACGAATGTCCACTTTACCTTATTTTTTGCAAGGGATTCTTGAAATTTGATCAAGTAAGAACAAGAATTTTCATTTTATAGTGTTTTTTGCAAGGGAAAGCGGGGGGGAACAAAACAACCGGATCCGGACACAATCGTTTTGCCTGAGACTTCCTCACGAAAATGATGAAAATGTAGCTGCGGCCTAGGCGCGGCGGGGGGGCCGTGCACCAGGGGTCCCAACAATAATTATTCTTAAGAAGAAATAATGTTCAATAACACCAACAACACCAACAACAACAGCAGCACCAGCAACAGCATCAACAACAACACCAACAACAACAGCAGCAACATCACCTACATCAGCAATAACAACACCAACAACCACAACAACACCACCTCCACCAAAAATCACACCACTGCCACCACGATCACCAGCACCACAAACAACAAACGCCATCATAAACAACCACAACAAACAACAACCATAACCACAAACACAGCAGCAGCAGCAACATCAATCATTGGACGACTGTTCTCTCCTACCTGCTCGCATGCCATGCAACACGTAAACCCCAAACCCTCGGTACCCGCCTTCGTCGCCTTCGATTGTACCCCCCTGGGGTTACATATATCGTCCTTACCTGCCGCGTGGATTTCGCGCAGCCCTTAGAACAGCGGAAGAGAGGGCGGATGGAAGGGGGAGAAAAAGGATAACGCACGAGAGAAATTTGCAAAGGGGGGGGGCTAGGAACATAACGAACATGGCAGAACCAACCGGGCAAATCGGGCGGGTAGACCCTAACGGGCGGGTCTGCAAGGGGGGCCAGGCGGCCAGGTCTAGCTGACGGTTTGCTGAAGCGTGAGTCCTGCATGACCAACACCAACACCACTGACACCACCACCACCAACAACAATAACAACAGCAACAACCGCCACCATACACAACCACAACCAACAACCACAATCACAACCACAGCAACACCAACAACAACAACAATCATTGTACGACTGTTCGCTCCTACCTGCTCGCGTGCCATGCAACACGTAGAACCCAAACCATCGGTACCCGCCTTCGTCGCCTTCGATCGTACTCCCCTGGGGGTACATTTATCGTCCTTACCTGCCACGTGGATTTCGCGCAGCCCCTAGAACAGCTGAAGAGAGGACGGATGGAAGGGGGAGAACAGAAAGGATGAAGCACGAGAGAAAGCAGCGGGGGGAGGGCAGGGAACAGAAAGCACGTGTCAGAACCAAACGGGCAGATCGGGCAAGCGAATCCTGGCAGGCGGGTCGGGGAGGCGGGCCCTGGCGGCCAGGTCGAGCAGGCGGGATGCTGAAGCGTGCGTCCTGCACGAATCGCGAGGAGGTCTCAAGCGATAGCGCGATTCCCAAATGAATCGTGCGGAAATCCACAGCGAGAGCGTGATTGCTGAATGTCGAGGGCGCGGCGGCTGAAAAAAATAGAAGAAAGTTCCACGCGAGAGTGGGATTCCTGAAAACTGTCAGGAAGTCCCACACGAGAGCGCGATTTGATAATACATTGTGAGGAAACATCAGGCGGGAGCCGTTGTTGTTGTTGTAAAGCGGGCCCAACAACGCAATTTGGTGCCTCTTCGCTTTTCCTTGTAACAAACCAGGGTGCGTGCTCCGAGAGAAGCACTTGAATTGAAAATATTAAATGGTTACCGGAGGGTGAGGATCAGCATTACTTATTCTTTAGGCATGAAAACTCCTCAACAACAATCCTTTTAAGACTGTTCGCTCTTACCTGCTCGCGTACACGTATATCCCAAACCCTCGGTGCCCGCCCTCTTCGTCTTCGATCGTACCCCCCAGGGGTTTATCTCCCTTACCTGCCGCGTGTGAATGGTGCATCACCCGAAAGAGGTGAAGAGAGGACGGATGGAAGGGGGAGGGAGAAGGATGGAGTACGGGATTAGCAGGACGGGTGCTAGAAACAGAAAACACGTAGCAGAAACAGAGGGGCCCATCGGGCGGGTCGACCCTCATGGGCGGGTCGGCAAGGCGGGCCCAAGCGGCCAGGTCGAGCTGGCGGGTTGCTGAGGCGTGAATGCTGCATGAATCGCGAGGAGAGCTCGACCGATAGCGCGATTCCTGAGTGTCGAGGGCGCGGCGTCTGAATAAACTGAGAGGAACCCCCACGCGAGAGCGCGATTCCTGCATAACTTGCGAGGGCGTCCCGCGCGAGAGTGCGATTTTGAAATACATGTTTTTTGTGGTTGTTGTTGAAATTCGGGGGCCAACACCACAGTTTGGTGGCACCTCGCTTTCCCTTGCAAAGACCAGGGTGCGAGCCCAGGGAGGAGCACTTCAATGCGACAAAGTGAACTGGTTGCCGGAGGGGATCAAAAATATTCATTCCTCAGATAAGAAATGAGAATTCAACAACAGCGTCGTCCTCGGCGTCGTCCTCGTCGCCGCCCAACGCCGTTCGCGTCGCCCTCGCCGCGGTAGTCGGCAGCGGCGTCGCCGCCGCCGTCGGCGTTCTCTCAGATCCGGCTGGGCATTGCAATCTTTCACACCGGGCGTTTCGCCGGGCTTCGGGCCCGGGGACTATCACAGATCGATGCGGCTCAACAACATGCCGCAGAAAGATGCGGTCGGGAGCTCAGGTCGTGTTTCTCTTGCGATGCTGTATTTTCTCTTACATCGTCGATTCTCTGGTTGTTTCTCGTCGCCGTCGCAGCGCTGCCAGCGTCGTGGTCGCCGCCGTCGTCGTCGAGGCGGCCGTTGTCATCCTCCTGATCCTCTTCCTCCTCCTCCTCCTCATCGGGCTTCTCGCTCGGCTCCTTCTGCGCTGCACCGACCCTGATCCAAAGATCGCCGCGCCTCCGTGGGATGGCCGCAGAAAGGATCAGACCGACTCAGGCGATGGGCAACAGTCCTCGGCTCCTCCTCCTCCTCCTCCTCGACATCCTAAACCTGCTCCTGCACCTCCCTCCTCCCCTCCTCCTGCTGCTTCTGGTCCCGCGCCTCTGCGCCTCCTGCTCGAGAATCTGCCGCCGCCGTTCCCGGCAGGAATCTCCGCGCGACCCTGCCCATGCGCGTGTCTTGCTGCTGCCGCTGCTCCTCGCCATCCCCCCTGCGCACTGCAAGCACCATGCCATGCGCAGGGATGCCGACGGCAGAACCGAGGAGCTTCTCTGGCCACCGCGGGCCTCGGCCACGAACAGGTCCCCCGGCATGGACCTGCTGGAGTGGCCTGGAGGCCAGGACCCCTCCTGCACGCAGAATGGTCTTTACTTCAGGGTCCGGACTGCACGAATCTGACTGGGGAGGGCACGCGAAACGACACGAGACCCTTCCGAGGGCCACGCTGCCACAGAACTGCTCAGGGCGCGGGACTCGAGGCACAGGACAAGAGGGCACCCGTGGGCTGGAAGGGCCGACCTACCACTTCAGCTCGGCCGTGTTCCCCCTATCCCTCTCTCCTCCTCATCCCCCTCCCAGAACCTCAGGGTCCTTCACACGGCAGGAGTGCGTGTGGACCCACTTTGAGAGGTTGTCCGCCAGCCCCTGGGGAGAACGACGCGGGGGAAGAGATGGTGACGACGACGCGGCGGAGAGACCTCCAGGCGCGTTTCAGCGGAAGCGGCCCAGTTGTAGCCAGGTTGGCCAGGAGAAGGGGGACGAGCGAGGAGTGAGGGATGCAGGGAGGCCAGGATCGAGGGACCGAGCTTCCTATTACGTTGTTGTCTTTTCGGGCTCGGAGAAAGCGTCAAATCGCCACGGTTTGATGATTCCTCTTCGAGATTATGCCAGAACGCACCCCGGGATGGGTTTGGGGATCGACGGGATGGGCATGGGAGGAATGAAGAAGGAAGTGGGAGGAGAGGGAAAAGGCAGATAGAAAACACTTCCCGCTGCCTTCCCAATCCGCTT